ACTGGGTACGCCCTTTTTTTATAATTTTATTGGTGCCTGAGGATGCTGGCACAGTGAGCAACTTGCAACGGCATGATCTGTAAAGCACTAGATCTTTCTCCCCTACCTTTGATGATTGCTTTGTTTTCTCTAGGTAATTTTCATCATGTGATGATAACCATATGTCATTGATTTGACCAGGTTATGGGGAAACCAGATCCACAACATGCCTGTAGCTGATGGTGGGAGGGGAAATAGCACCAAAGGCTGCAGATTTTCCCGCAATAAGAAAACAATATCCCTAATTCTTTAGCTTTCCTTTTACTTCCAAAGGGGAAAAAGGGAAAGAGAGAGATATATGGAAAGGCAAAGAAGTGATTGACTGAAGATCAAGTTTACAGCTGCAATCAAATTTACTTCTACGCTACTGAGATGGAAAAAGAGGCTAACACAGTACACTGTAGTTCCAATGCGTAAGTAATACAACTCCATCTTGTTTTCTCGTAAGTTTTAGTTGTCCCCAAGTATCGCTACTCCTGTTCTCTTTGGCACACATTTTAGTAACAGATTAAATGAGTTTTTGGGTTAAGATATTTATGCACTAGTCTCATACTTTGTAGTATTCTTGTTCTTTACAGTGAGACCTTGATGCCTAGTTTGGCACCATATGTTGGCATAGAATTTAGAAATTCAGATGAGGCTTGGGCATTTTGGCTTAGCTATGGTGGGCAAAAAGGCTTTGAGGTGAGAAAAAAGTATACAAACAAAAGGTCATCTGATGGCAAAATTACATCATGTAGATTTGTTTGTGCAAATGAGGGTTGTCGATCACGAGACAAAAGGGATCATTTAACAAGGCGCCCTCGACCTGAAACTAGAACCGATTGTAAAGTCCACATGAGTCTTAAACTGGACCGAAAGAAAGGCAATTATGAAGTGTCCGAGCTGGTTTTGGAACACAACCATATACTACACCTACTACAAACCTTACAATTGGTGGTACCACAAAGGAAAATTTTAGATTTACAAACTTTTGAAATTGAAACTGCAGATGATGTGGGAATTAGGACAAAGGTGGCACACGAATTGGCTAGTCACCATGTTGGCAGATCACCCAATCTTAGCTACACCCTTCAAGATCGGGCGTACCCAGTGCAGAGAGCTCCCGCTCTGTGCGGGGTCTAGGGAAGGGTGTTAGTGGCAAGCCTTACCCTCGCCTATGCAATGTGAGAAAACCGCGACTCAAACCCGGGACCTTCCGGTCACAGGCGGTAAGACTCTACTGCTTACACCCTTCAAGATCAAAAGAACTATTTGTTGACCAAGCGCCAACAGGAGATGGCATATGGTCAAGCAGGTAGCATACTTAAGTATTTTCAAGATAAAATTGCTGAGATCCCATCGTTCCAATTTGCATTGCAAATGGATTGTGAAGAGTAGATAGCAAATATATTCTGGGTTGATGGTAAAATGATCATGGACTATGCACATTTTGGTGGTGGTGTTAGTTTTGACACTTTTGGAACAAATAATGGGAGTAGGCCTTTTGGTGTCTTTGTTGGATTCAATCATTTTAGAGAAACTGTAATATTTGGTGCTGCTCTCATGTATGATGAAACATTTAAGTCCTTCAAGTGGTTGTTCGAGGCCTTTCTAAAAGCTCATAGTGGACAGCAGCCTAAAACAATCTATACGGATCAAGATTTTGCAATGGAAAAGGCAGTTGCTGAAGTGTTTTCAGAAGCATGGCACGGATTATGCACCTCGCACATTATGCAAAATTTTGTCAAACATCTTCATAAAGATAAGAATGATGACACAAGCATTCTATCAGATTTTAGGGCATGCATGTTTGAGTATGAGGACATAGCAGAATTTGAACATAAATTTGACATCATGAGGAAAAAGGTGAACAAACAAACTTGCTTGGATAGCATATACAAGTTGAAAGAAAAATGGGTTGAATGTTATATGAATGATGTCTTCACATTAGGAATGAGGAGTACACAGTTGAATAAGAGTCTAAACAATGATTTGAAAGTCCTCTTTGAAACTGATTTTGATATCGTCCAGTTCTTGAAGCATTTTGAAATGGTGGTGCAAGGTAAAAGGAATAATGAACTGAATTTAGAATTTGATTCAAGGAAAAAGTTGCCAGAAATCTATATGAGGATACCACCGCCTATGTTGGTGCATGCTAGCAAGCTGTATACACCTATTATATTTGAAGCTTTTCAAGGTGAATATGAAAGATCCTTGGCAGCTTGCACGAAGGCATTGGATGGTAATAATGAATATCTAGTAGGAGATTTTACCTTTGAGGAGGGGTACAAAGTTACTGCTGATCCGTTGAAGCAAACAGTTTTTATGCAGCTGTAGGCAATTTGACAGAATTGGGATATTGTGTGCCCATTCTCTTAAAGTTCTTGATTTGATGAATATCAAGTCACTACCGCCACAATATGTGTTAACAAGATGGACTTGGGAAGCACGGACTGGAACTATACAAGACAACCAGGGAAGAAATATAATTGAAAATTAAATTATGGATGCTACTCTTCGCTACAGATATATGTCTCATAATTTTCTCAATTTGGCACATAGAGCAGCACAGTTTCTAGAATGCACCATATTAGTAGACAACACGCTTGACATCCTTGGTAAGGAAATTGAAGACAAAATCAATGCATGTACAAGCATTTCTGGGGATCCACTTGACATCCTTGGCAAGGAAATTGAAGACAAAATCAATACATGTACAAGCACTTCTGGGGATCCACATACAATTTGCATGGATGATCTTTTTGGTGGAGAGCTTGTATTCTGGTGAAGGAAGCAAGAAGCCAAGAACTCGGCTATGTTTTTGCATTTGGCAAGCAAGCTAGAAGCATGCAAGTCTGTATGCATGTTTGGGTCTGGGAGCATGGTCATTTGGTGGCAATGAATTTTGCCACACCTCATTCTGCTTTGCCACCAGAATTATATAACCAAACTGACAATATTTAGTGCCCCTTTTCAGTTTTATTTTGGGAGCATGGCCACACATTTTGCATGCCCCTTTTCAGTTTTATTTTGGATAGCTATGCTGAATCTTAGAATAGTTCTCAATGCAGCAGTAGCACATTTAGGCATTCTGAATTCAGTTAGTAGATTTTGATTTTCATTTGAGCATTCTGAATCAATTCAGTAAACATTTAGGCATTCATTTGAGCCATCAGAATCCATTTCAATTTACAATTTTAATCAACTTTCAGAACATTCAGCAAAGCTCATTTGGTCACAACCACATTCAGTATAGATCTGCCAATCTTAGCAGGTCTCTCCTAACCATCAGTAAGAATGTTCATAGAGTGGCATGGCACTACAAGCTTTTGTTGCCGAAATGTGCGAATGTTTCAGACTCCAGAGCGATGAGGTAGCACCATAGCAAGTGTAAGCAGGCACCACATTGACAAGGTGTTGCATTTCATGTTTCTACAGGTTCACGTGTGCCGACAGTTCAAATATGTTTGCTCTTGATCTTGATCTTCTGGTATAGCTGCAATCATATTTGAATTTGTCTAGTCACTAATCAGTCAGGTAACTTAGTGCCACCGGAGATCTCTGAATCTACTGTAAGAAATTTGAGCTTTAAAAAAATTCAGTCCTCTGTGCATACATGTAATTATGTGTATCTGCTAACTCTTCAGGCCTGTTCGGATCCTATGAATTGAAACTAATATTTAGAAAGTGCTTCCAATTTCATTATTATATTACTTTCTAATTAGTCTCAATTCCTATCCTAGGAACCAAACAGGCCCTTCATGTTTTATTTCAAGGCATGCCTAGACTGCAGGACAGCAACAATTGACCAGTTGGATGTTGTTTCAGATTTTTCAGAAGCCATCTGACAACATCTTTTGCCAGGTTGGTGTCCAGTTTCCAAAGCCTATTCGCTTGCTCGTATCTGGCTTATAAGCCATGGTTTATCAGCCAACGAACAGTATTTTTCTCTCACACCAAACTAGCCAACAGTACTTTCAGCCATGTCTTATAAGCCAAACCAGCCCAAACGAACAGCGCAAAGTCAGTAGACACGTAATTCAGACTGAAGCAACACATTCGCATTTTGGTTGCCTGTTCCTCCAATTGACACAGAAATGGTAAATAATACCTCGAGGAAAAAACATACTCTCCTGCGTTAACAAGTACTCCCTCTGCTTGGATTTAATTGACGTTTCGGACGTTACTCCATAGCGCTTTTGATTTTGACAAGACATGGTTTTTAGTAACTTAGGACAATTTCCATAATGGCGGAGGAACATACCTTACTGGTAATTTCTCTCCACAATTTGTCACATTGATACCTCACCAGATAAGGTTAGTCTGTCCTTGAAATTTTATATGCTTGTATGTCATTAGCTCCTCTGCATGCATGGTTTCTCTTTCGGAATATTTGTGAACTTCTTTAGACATGTTTATCGTGGGCTTCTTGTGATGCAGTCGAGTGTGTTCCCGTCATGATACGCAGCGTGTTCGAATTTTTGAGTGTGTTCCCATCAAATTAGTTCCCCTGAACTTGATGCACTAACGGTGCATACTTATCAATGCTCAACACAGTGATTGCTGACAGCCTGATATATATATCAAACAGCTTGTGGAACCTGATTTTAAAATGGCATTTCCCGTTCAAAACATCCAGCCCAAATATTATTTTCTCCATTTGTCACTATGTATTCTAATCCTGTTGAACACTCCTTCGACTTTTGATTTATGTAGCCTACACCAGAACTGCGAACCCTCTCTATGGCTCTATTTTTAGGTTGTGATAAGTTTACCACCTCCTCGTACAATTTCTGTTCAGGAACACGATAGAACTGAATGTTCACTCGACAAACTAATAAGAAATTTAATACAATGCCATATGATCACACACATATTCAGAACATACATGTTTGTTGGGACTGGATTATTAAAACACACACACATATATAGATCCCTACCCTCTACGCTCACAACGGAAGGATGCACGCTAAAACTTGTCAGACGACCACCGCCTCCACGTTGCCGTGCCGCGGCGACTCGGCCACGTTCGGGCACGCCAGGATCTGGTACACTAGCGCCGCGACGGCCGCGCCGACCATCGGGCCAGCCCAGTACACGGCCTGGTTCTTGAAGTGGCCGCTGACGACGGCCGCCCCGAACGAGCGGGCCGGGTTCATGGACGCGCCCGCCGACAGCACGCCCTCCGTGAGCCCGACCGCCAGCGCCCCCAGCGCCGTGGCCGCGAACCCCCGCTTGTCGGTGCCGCTCAGGCGAGTCTCGCCGACCACGTGCACCGTGTACACCAGCAGGAATGTGAGCACGCCCTCCAGGACCGCGCCGCCGAACCCGGTCATCGCCACCGCGATCCTCGTCGTCGGCACCTCCTGCATGCAGCATGCGCAAGTTCATCGTTGCGACCAATGTGAAACGACGGTTAGTGTCAGTAAAGGAAGTGATCGAGAGCGGTTACGACATGCCTCGCCGGCGGAGAAGATGTTGAGGGAGAGGCAGGCCAGGGTGGAGCCCAGCAGTTGCGACGCCCAGTAGAAGATGGCGCTCGGAACGCCGATGGCATATGCGAACGTGACGGCAGGGTTGACGTGGCCGCCGGAGACGTCGGCGGCGATGATCGAACTTGATCTTTTTCGCTGATGGTTGAATGCTCTGTACAACAAGAACACAGCGGACTGTTTATAAGAAATATACAGGCCCCGTTCGCTTCGCTGAAAAAACAAACCGAAACACTGTTCCGACTGATTTGTTGTGAGACAAAAACACTGTTCTAACTGAAAAAAAAAGCTGAAAAAAACAGATTATAAGAGAAGCGAACGAGCTCACGACATGAGGAAGACCAGACCGACAAAAAATGATCACCAACTACCAAAAATTGGGATCACAGTGCTGTTTAGAGAGTGAACTAACGAACTACTGAAAATAGACAAATATCAGAACTGGACCGGTAATCCTATTTTCTATTTGCAATTTATATGAGAAAATTCAAACATCAATAGACGGCAAACATCGTAATGTTGGACAGATAGCAAATAATGTGATCACAAAGCACTTTCACGTGCCCTGTTTTGGATTTTAAGACTTAAGATTTCCAACCCCAACTCACGCACAATTATTCAGAACTCCAAACCAACAGGTCCTATAGTCACACTTCATCTTGTTGTCAAGGGAAGAGATCCATTATGAGATTACAATGCCATCCAGTCATCATTCTAAAAAGTGCTACTGTTGCTAATAACTAAGTTAACCTACTACTTAAGACCCTGTTTCATGAGTGAAAAGCAACAATACACAGGAACACAATTCCATTTGCATAATAAATTTGTATCTACCATGTTCTCCTAGTTAATCAGCTTGTTCGCTTGTTGGTTTCAGCTAGGGCTTATCAGCTAGCCAACAGTTTTTTCCTCTCACAACAAACCAGCACCAGCCGGGCTTATTAGCCCAGAAACCAACCAGCGAACAGGCTGAATATTAGAAAAAAATTCCTTAACAACCTTTCTTACATAGCATTTCAAAGCCCAAGGCAAAACTAGAACCTACAAACCATATCTTCAATTGGGAAAAATTAGAAAAAGGCAGATTATAGCATTGTTATGATATGTACAACTAAAACAAGCTTGTGCAAAAGTTATCCTAACCGTTATCAAGGTTGTAACTTGCAAGGACTACAGGTCCTGTTTGGAAAGGTAGTTTTGAGATCTAAATCCCATGGATTTAGTATAAAGCTGAACTAAATACTAAAATTTCCAAGACCAAGCCTTCTCTTTCAACAGGCCTTTAATTACTATGTTAATTGTCAAGTGAGTAGCAACACAGTAAAATAAACAGTGCTTTTATCACTGATCTTCACACATTACTCAAAAGATGGAAAGCATCAATTTTAGCCCTGGTCGGCTGCACTTTTGCAGCAGCGGCTACTCAGTTTCTACAGTAGCCGCTGGGGTGCTGCTGCAGCAGCTGCGGCAATCAGTTCACATGCTGCATTTGTATATGTGATCAAGAGATGACATTAAATAAACTGAAAGCAGCAACACAAGGTTTACTTACAAGAGCTGGACACTCGTAATCAATACCAGCTGCCTAGATTCTTTTGCGATGCTTTTCATCCCGCTTTACAATTCCTTCAACCATCTTTTTGTGCTCTTCTACAGTCTTACCTGGTAACAACATAACTATTCAGTACAATGCACATATTATTAAGCTACAATTGTAGGTAGCACTTAGCAATAAATTATCTTACTGTGTTTCTTCCGTTCGATTGCCACTCTGTAACGAAAATGGACCCTAGGCCCATTTATTTCGGATTTTCGTGTTTCATGACAACACAATCAAATTGGACTAATGAATTTGCAAGTAATTGTTTTGTAGTTTAATAGGGTGCAAAACGTGACTTGGACGAAGGTGACATGATGATCTCACGATCAACACCATAAGCAAGACCCTAGAAGTACAAGAGAAGACCTAAGATATCAAGCATAGTCCAAGCACGAAGATGGGAACCAAGCCAGACGCAAGATCGCGAAGAAACGAGCTTGGCAGAGGTGACCGGACGCGGCCCTTATAGGGACCGGACGTGTCCAATCAGTTGCTCGGCAACAACAGGCGTCACTAGCAGTGACTGGACGCTGAAGAAGAAACATGACTGGACGCACGGACTTCACTGTTCATCGTCGCGGCAATAATTCAGCGTGACCAGACGCGCCAGGCAGTGGCGTCCGATCGAGTCCAGAAAAGTTCCAAAGCGGCGCCAGCGCGACCGGACGCGTCCGATCGATGATGACCGGACTCGGCCCAGAGTCCGATCAACGCGCGCGTTCCAACGGTCGGGACGACCGGACGCGTCCGGTCAGTAGCAGAAAGCTGGGTTTCATCCCCAACGGTTACTTTCTCCATGGGGCTTATAAATAGACCCCCCAACCGGCCATTTGTCATGTGGAGAGCTGAGAAAACACACTAAGGGTGTTGATATACTATTTTAGTGATCTCCACTTGTATAGTGCTTAGTGATTCATTAGGTGATTAGCGTAGGTGCTTTGTGAAGTGCTTAGGTTGATTAGACCACCGCTTATGCACTTGCTCTAGGTTTAGGCCTAGTGTTTAGTGAGGTTTGCACACCTCTTACCACTCGATGCTTGCATAGGTTTTTGTTAAGGATTGAAAAAGAGGTCATAGTTTAGAGTTAGAGTTTTAAGTTGCCTAATTCACCCCCCCCTCTTAGGAGTCACAGTCCCTTACAATTGGTATCAGGGCTGGTTGGCTCAATTTGGATCTTTGGCTTCACCGTCGTTGAGCCGACGTGTCGGGGACCTAATACCGGGATACCCAATGAAGTGGAATTAATAACCATCGAACGTTGACGCTTCCGGTCAGACAAGAACGCTACTACACTTCTTGTTCGAACAACGGAAGAGTGGTTCTGCCTCGCTCGACCCCCGAGGGCTAAGACTCCGCCTCGCTCGACGCCTGAGGGCTGGCTCCGCTTCGCCCGATGGCTGAGGGCAGGCTTCGCCTCGCCTGATGGCTGAGGGCAGGCTCCGCCTCGCCTGACGTCTGAGGGCTGGCTCCGCCTCGCTCGATGGCTGAGGGCTGGCTCCGCCTTGGCCGACGGCCATGGGCAGGCTCTGCCTCACCCGATGGCTAAGGGTAGGCTCCGCCTCACCCGATGGCTGAGGGCAGGCTCTGCCTCACCCGACGTTTGAGGGCTGGCTTCGCCTCGCCCGACGGCCGTGGGCAGGCTCCGCCTCGCTTGACGTCTGAGGGCTAGCTCTGCCTCGCCCGACGACTACACCCTGTTCCTTCATAAAGACGAGCACAGGGTACGACAAGACATTCAGGTCAACCGTAGTACCGAGGGCCATGCCCTTCATGCCTGCAGGAAGGTACTGTCAGGATACGACGGGACGGGCACTTTTCGGCTCTTTCCGACCTGACAGAGCTCGAATAGTGTTGTAGGCACTGACTTTTGTCCCACAGTGTTGTAGGCGCCGCCATCAGCCCTCGGATGCGGATGCTAACACGAGCATACGACAACCACTATGATCCAAGACAGAACTCACATCATCTACAGTGACCAACGTGTGGTCATTTCCTCGCCTACTCTCCGAAGGGTCACGGCTCGGCTCTCTAGCATGCCGCACCGCCCACCGGTGTAGGATGGGACGCACCCACTTGCTGCAAGAGGCCAGGGCATGGCCCTATAAGGATCAACGAACACGCCATTCCTGACATGGTCTGCCATGTTAGCAGGGCAGGCATAGGGGAAAAGGAAGACCCGGTTCCCTCGAAGGACCTTCTCCACCTTTGGTTTTTTCCTCTTTCTCCCGTCTGTAACCCCTGTTCCCCCCTTGGTCTATAAAAGGGAGGGTAGGGCACCCCACTAGGGGGACCGACTTTTGATCGATCGTTTTTAACACAACACACAACCAAGCAGCAACCGAGCTCTTGGCATCCTTTCGACCTTTCCATCAAAGACTTGGGACCTGTCCCTCTCTCGACCGTTTGTACCCCCTACTATGAACCTTTTTTGGTACTAATAACATGAGCATCAGCAGACTAGACGTAGGGACATTCTGCCCGAACCAGTATAAACCTTGTGTCCTTTAGTACATCATCCGGGCCTAACGCGCAACAATTATAAATTCACTAGTCGGTGTTTGTTCGAAACACCAACAGTTGGCGCGCCAGGTAGGGGCCTTTGCGCATTCCAAACCAAGCCTCGGATGGCTAGCCACGCAATCAGCTGGGTCTCGAGCGCACATGTGCGTTTCGGTGACCTAGACTTCATCGTCACGGTGGGGGAGGAGTTGGCATTGGCCCACGCCGCCACCCAGTCTCTCTCCTCCGTCGGCTTCAACTACGAGAGGCTTGAGCGCCGGCCCAGCGTCTCCCCTAGACCCCAGCCTTCTAGGGAGGACCCACACCGCCTCACCCTCTCTCTGGAACACTCCGCACGGAGCACCCCGATAGCGCTTCCGTTCGGTCTCCGCAACGCCGCGACGACCAATAGCCACCTTGTGGCACCACGCACGATCCCGTCCCCCACGAACAACGAGTTCGTGGGGATGATCGAAAGCATCACGAAATCCCTCCATGGCCTCCTCATGAAGGGGCCGGGGTCAGACTATGGCTCTGACTCCAGTAGGGGGAGCCATCACCCCTCCCGGGAATGTTTCATGGCGGAAATCCCGAGGGACACATCGAAAGTGTCTCCGCGAAGGAGACTACTCCGGCAGGCAACCCCAGTGGCGGAACCGAAGGGGGGACAGCGACCCCACCTCACATAGAGGTGGAGCAGCTGAGAGCTCGAAAGCGGGAGATAGACGAAGCCGGATAGCAGCTT